CTGTGTGTGTGTGTGTGTGTGTGTGTGTGTGTGAGTGAGTGAGTGAGTGAGTGAGTGAGTGAGAGAGAGAGACAGGGTTGTCAGGATGTCCTCTCACTCTGGTCGTCACAGTCACACCGGACTCTAAACTTGTACCTGTTGCCAAGCAACCAGGACATCTGTCACACCAGAAGCTGCCCGATATCAACATCTTGCCTTGAGGAGGGAGAAATGAGGAGTTTGGAGACATACCCAAGTTGACAAAAATGGATTGACAATTTATACCCAGTGTAACAGTGACAAATCACTTGCTGAAAATAGCCAGCTTCTCGAGAAGAAACTTCTAGTTAATGCTCTTCATTCCAACAAAAACATAATGAAAATAGCCAGCTTCTCTAGAAGAAACTTTGAGAAATGTCCTTTCTGACTCCAAGGGGTCGTCTCGACTCAGGCTCTGCACTGCACTGCTTGTTTGCTCCATTTACTAAGACGGATGTAAATACAGTGCACACATGTGACCAGCCAACGAGAAGCCCCTGAGAATCCAGCCTCTGTTCCATTGGCTGGCATGTTCACACTGATTGGGATTCTCATCAAGGATACTTATTCCTTTATGTAAATGAAAGTGCAGCTCGGATCGAGTCAATGCTCTTCATTCCAACAGAAATGTAATGAAAATAGCATGTAGACACATCAGAGTCAAGAGTCGCTGCTGGAGACGGTTCTCACATGTGCTCTGCGCTTCTCCCTTCAATATGATCATCTCTTTCTCTTTGATGGATGAGTGGCTCGTCAACAATGGAGAATACATATTTTGATAAGGCTTAAAGCTGCAAACATGATATCTCAATATTATAAATTATTGGATTACAATAAACCATATTGCAGAAATGTTATCATTGGGCTATTAGTTTTCAACTGCATGTGTAAGAGTTGTTCTTTTTATAATTAGCTATTGATGTTGTTTTGAATAGTTATTAAAAATGATAACCAGCAAGTTGACATTTCATGGTTAAATAAGGTTTAAAAGGTACAGTATTTATTTACTTCTTGTTCCATCAGCCAAAGTCCTGGCTAATAGGGGCTGCAATAAAAATGAGTTACAAAATAGCATGCGTTCAATAAGCCACATTATCAGAACTAATCATAAATGAGATGTTATTAAATCATGAATATGTTAACCAGAATTAACACTTTGCAATTGTGAAAAACCCCAAAACATCAGCACCTAGTTTCTGCACCAACGATTTGAATTCACGAAGGGAGACCAAGCTTAGATATTGTAGACTCTAGAGTAACTGCAGAAGGATTGCGGCAGATACAGAAAGCTCCTTCACCCACTCTGAGATGCTTACAGTATAATATAAAGATGAGTCACAGCCACGGCATGGGCCAGAATAATGTTATATTTGACCAAGATATAAAAAAATAGTGCTACAGATCTAAATCTACTGAGCAGAATAACAACTCTCATTTCTACCAACAGTGCTGAGCAGAATCGTGATATACCTTGAGACGATATTAATGCCTCCACTATATTGTTAACACCAAGGGAGCTCTCATTTTAACACCTGTGTGTGATCGACTGCAAATCACTAGTTCGGGACTTCTTCAATGCAATATTGGACTTTAATTTGTATTTTTGTATCAATGTGATAAATAACTTTGAGTTGTTTATTGTATTTAATTTATAGGTTAACCAAAAATTGATATAAATGTATAGTGTTTCAGAAAATATGACCACAATATAACAACAATTTAATATACTTTAGTAGACAATTAAAACCAGTACATTTGATGTGAAGCTCTTATTATTATTTTTTACTTAAAGGTAGGGTAGGTAAGAATGAAGAAACCAGCTCAAGTGCGCTAGAATTTGAAAGTACACAACCGAAAAAAATCTGCCCCTTCCTTCAGACTTCCTTACAGAGCCCCTCCTCCAACACACACGAATGCGCACATGACCAATGAGGGCACGAGATAAGTTTGTGCACAGATGGAAGGCTGACAGACAGGTAGGCCATCCAATTATCTGCCGCGGGCCGAGGCAGATAACTGGACTTTCTTTTTACAGCGCCACGGCTTCCACAGATGAAATATTTGTATCTAT